ACCTCTCTGGTCTCATTTTACTCACCTGGAAGGGGCACAAGAACCCATCACATCATAGCACTGCTTTAAGAACTGGGCCACTGCCGGGGAGGAGTGGTTGCTGAGCCCTGGAGTTTGCACACACATAGCTCCTGCACACGTGAGCTGAAAAAAGCTCCAAAGAGCCAAAGGGCATGTACTGTCATCATCAGGTGGGTCTGACTCATAGCGACCCCAAAGGGCAGGACAGAGCTGCCCCTGTGGGTTTCTGAGGCTAAAACTCTTTACAGTAGCAGACAGGCCCATCGTTCTACTATGGAGTGCCTGAGGGGTGCAACTGAGGACCTGGCAGTTGGCAGCCCAATGTCTGTCCCCCACTGTGCCACCAGGGCTTCTTGCTGCAAAGTGCTCAGTAGTTTATACCAAACCTGCATTTCCTTGCTCAGCAATCCGCTCCCCAGAAGACCTACTTGAGGTCTCAAAACACACACATAGTCTTGGAAGCCACCTCCGGAAGGTTCTTGCTAAAGTACCAAGAGGGGTTTTTTACACCACGGGGCAGGCATCTCCAAGATCTTTGTAGATTTATGTATATGGATCAAAATTAAACTTAAATTTTCCAATTTGCCTCTTTCCTCCCAGAGCCTCCCTCAGTCGTGCAGTGCTATCGCAAGGGGCGGCTGGCAGCTGCAGAGAGAAGTGGGAAGGGCAGACTGCCCGCCAGCGCCTGCTCTGCTCCAAGCCCTGGTGTTACAGGGGCCCTGGTGGCAGAGGGGGTTTCCAGGCCGCTGCTGACTACACAGCCCGCAGTTTGAAGCCACCAGCCGCTCCCAAGGAGATGGGCTGTCTGCTCCCTTAAGGAGTAACAGTCTCGGAAACCCATGGGGATCGTTCTTTCCTGTCCTGCAGGGTCACTCGAGTCAACATCGACTCGAGGGCAATGAGTTTGGGTTTGAGTTTGTTCTTGTTAGCTGCCCCAAGTCCATTCAGTCTCAGGAGGACCCACATGCCAAGCCTGTCTGCTGAGGTGGTGGCTCATCTCTCCGCCAGCAGTCGGGCACTGAGTGTTTGAGCCTCCCAAAAATAAAGTCGTGTACAACAAGAGAAATGCAGAGGACGAAACAAAGGAATGCTAGAAAGCCTCTTAATAGCTACTGCAGTGGTCCTCAACCTTCCTAATGCCATGACCCTTACACACAGTTCCTCATGTGGTGGTGACGGCCAACCACAAAATTATTTTCGTTGCTACTTCATCACTGTAATTTTGCTACTGTTATGAATCGGGCAACCCCTGTGAAAGGGGTCGTTCAACCCCCAAAGGAATCGAGACCCATAGGTTGAGAACCGCTGCACTACTGGAATATCAAATAAATTCATAAGCTAATTGCTCCCAGCTGAATTTAAATGAATAAAATGTAAATTGCCTGGCAAAGGGGACCATCAGATTTATACAAACCATTAAACAACGTGGACTGGATCCACCAGAGGGAAGGGCAAAGCTAACTCCCTGCACAGAGCCAGCCCCAGGCTTGCCAAGTGTCCCTTACACAGAAATCCCGCGTTCTCCGACAGTTTCAAACAAAGGGGCACTTCTGACACATACTCACAATGATGCTAGCCTTTGGTGAAGACGAGGAGAATGAAGGGAAGGATCCCAGAGCCGCTCGCCCTGGTAGGGGACCTCCCACCTGGTGCCACAGTCCAGCTGTATACTCAGGGAGCCCACAGAACTTGACCACCTCTGGGTCCAGGGGCTTGACTGTCTGCGAGGGTGCCCCACTTCTGCTGCCATGATTCTGGGGGGGGGGTACACACACCCCACATGGCCACAGCTGAGGAGAGAGTTTGGATCTGTTCTACAGGCTTCCACAACCTTAGACCTGGCCCTGCAGGAAAAGAAAAGAGCTGGCACACACCAATGTGCTTCCAGTCACCAAGACCAGAGGAGACACAAAATCCCCTCTCCCCAGATGTGACAAGCACAGCGATAAGAGGGCAGCTGGGTGCTGAGGCACACAAGTCGGAACACGACCTTCTTACTGGGAAGGACCCTCATCTCTGAGGTACTAGTCCTGGGACTCCTGACTCCACAGACCGACTACAGGCTTCAGAAACGCCCTCCCCAGGTTTGTGGTCAGGAGAAAACTGGGAATCAATCTGAAGCATGAACAATCATGCTGGAGAGTGGGCCCACAGGGCTCTGCTGTGTTTGGCCTCTGTGGCAAGCCTGGCTGCCCCTCCAGGCTCATCTTCAGTCCAAGCCTCTGCACAGCCCAGAGGGAGGCACCATGGAAGAAGATCCTTTAATCCACTCTAATGCTACCTTTCCGCCCAGGCTCCCAAACGCCACACTTGCTCTTCACCTCACCCACCCAGCCAGGACAGAGAAGCAGGAAGGACTGGGGGCTGGGGGCTGGGGGCTGGTAGCGTCTAGTTTCTGGACCTTCTCCTGGGTGTATGGCCATGGTGGACAGAGGCTCTTTCCAGTAGTGAGGAGACTGGCAGCTCATGCAAAGTTGGCCGATGGAAGGCGCCCTACCTGGGTAGGGCAAGTTCCAGTTTCTGAACCAGGAGGCAAATCCCATAAACACACCCATGATCTGTGTTTTACCCCTGTGAGCTCTTAATCCAGCCTTGTATTGACACAAATGGCTGTAGAGACCATGTCAACCCTCTGAAAACTGCGGCACAAGCATGAGTCTTTGGCAAGGAACATCTACAGTGCTGATGGAGCACTAATGTGACAAGTGACAAGCTACAGTGATCCGATGGCCCAAGGCCAGCAATCCCATTGCAAACAGATTTATCTATTTTGTGACAGCGGTTCTTGCTTGTGTGGCAACAAAAAAAGTAGCCGCCCAACGACAAATTCCAAAGTAAGTTCTCCCTGTGAGATTTCCCTATTGGTAAGAAATGTCTTCAGTGTGCTTCACACCACATCTAGTGTAGCACTTAAAATAGATCCACTTAGGAAGGAAGCACTCACATGTCAGGAGCACGAATGACAACAAACAACCATGAAGTAACAATTCAATAGATGTGACATAATGTACCTCAACGTCTTGAATTAATAAATCTTGAGCAAAGCACAAAGTCCATGAGCTCTGAGTTTGGGGTTAAACAAGGGCTCCCTTTGTAGCCCTTCCTCCTCTAAGTCACCCTCCGTGGAGCCCTGGTCAGTTCCATACACAAGAACTTCGGGCTGCTGTCTCAATGCCTGCTACCCAGTGGGTCCACTTAATGTCACTGTCACTTCAGTAGACAATGGTCCCACCAAGGTCCCACCAATGGTCATGAAAAGGAGGGTAACCTCCTGCTAATGGTTCATGGACTACTAAAGTACCCATCAGACTGCAAACTTTTCACACTGTATCCATCATCTTTCCCTAGGACATGTTTAAGTACGTACTTCGCTGTTGCCGATGCAAAGAAACCCAGTTATCTCCAAAACCTTGTCAGCACAGCACTGCTGCTGTGGTGAGGCACTGGGCTGCTAACCACAAAGCTGACGGTTCAAACCCACCAGCAGCTCCTTGGGCGACCTGTGTGACAGTCTGCTTCTGTGAAGATTTCTAGCCTTGAAGACCCACAAGGGCAGTTCTACTCTGTCCTATGAAGTCTCTGTGAGTCGGAATTCACTTGAGGGTAGAGGGTTTGGTTTGGGTTCACTATGTGAGGGAAGCCAGTCAACATAGTATATTATTTTCAATACTAATTCATAACAGCGCCGTTAGAAACAGTCAGTCAATGGCAGGGACACACTCTGCTATAAGCTCCGAACTTAACATGTGCACTGAGAGGCCTTGGCAGTCTCATTAATTACCAAGGAGCCCTGGTGGCGCAGTGGGTTAGGTGTTAGACTACAAACTGAAAGGTAGGCTGTTTCCACCCACTGCTCTCAGACAGGTGTACCGGTAGTCTTGGAAGCCCCATGGGACAGTTGTACTCAGTCCAACAGGTTGTCCTGAGTCAGAATTGACTAGGCAGCAGTGGGGCTTGGCTTGGTTTGGGTATTATTACAAACTAACGCAAAGACTAGAGTGAGCCTGTCACAGAGGAGGAAGGGCAAGAGCCAACCACGTGAGCGCTAACTACCATGGGGGCAGGCAGCTCCATTTCTGTGCCTTTGCAGCATAACTTCAAGGATCACAAAACTGGTTTCAGGTACAAAGCAGAAGGGCCCGGGTTCAAATGATTTATGCCAAGTCATTTAGGCGGTTCCATCTGGACACCAAGTACGCATCAATCAAAGCTCAGCCAATTGTCAAAGTTCATCCTTTGGAGCCTGTGAAAATGTGGAACGCTACTGGCAATTCAGCACTTCAGGTTCAGGGGACAGGGTTCAAATCAGCACTTTCCAGTAATATCGAGAGGCAGTAATTGACAGAAAACATTTTAACAAGTGTCACCTTCATGACTTAATTTTAAAATAGGACCCTCACCACTCACTGTTGTTAATCCCAACACTGGGTGAATAACAATGTGTACCACTGTGCCACGTGTTGCCAGTAAATGAATGAATGTCCCTTAAGGGTGTGGGACCTGTAGGACACTGGCTACCGGATAAGGCAACTTTACCATCTGTGCGGACCAATCAAGCAAAATCCAATGACTAAATCCTAGCATATAAGATTCACTGCACTATTCAAAACCAAAACTGCTTCCTTCCCAAAATCTCCACGCTTGGACACAGCACTTACACCAGAAGAAACCCAGCGAGGTGCCCACATTTACCTTCAACCAAACTTCTGCCGTCCAATTTCCTAAAGACGTGTACAAGCAATAAGAAGGTGCAGCACAAATGCTGAGACGGTGAATGCCGATGAAATCGCAATTAGCTTACAGGCTATCAAACCTAAATAACATTTCCACCATATCTGCCTTCTGATGACTATTAAACAGAGGGTGTGAAGGCTGCCTCAGCATGAGCCATTCAGTTTAAGATCAAATTTTATACCTAAATTCACAATGAACCTTAAACCCCTTCTCAACAATCTGGACCACGAAAATAAACTACTTACATAAATATTTAACATCGGGCATCTCCGGTAGGAAATCCTTACTTGCTTTGGAACTCGTAACACAAATGGAGAAAGAGGCAAAATAGGTTTGTACTCTTACTACACTTGATCTTAGCCAAAAGGCCGAGACGCGATGGGTGTATATATATACTCTTAAGGAAAAACTCTTGGTTTCATAGTTTTAAAAATTACTCCACCCCCAACACTAAGCCTCTTTTGTGTGTGGAGACCTGTACAGCTTACACAAGTAGATGTGTAAGTGAACACAAAGTGTGTGGGGAGGGGGTGGAGGGGAAAGGGGATACAGACCAAAGTAAGTCCCAAAGATTGAACAAAATTACAGCCTTCTGGACTCTTAAAATAATAATGAGCTTCCTCGGACTTAACCCCGCAACGCACACTAATTGCAACGGTTATCAAACTCTTAGAAAGATGCCTGCTTCTTCTAGAGCAACTTCATTGCCAAAATAGTAACAAACCCGAAGTAGGTTCGAGGTTGGGTTTTACTCGCTACTAGTTTTCAGGGCGGCTACTTTGTTGCATCGCCCGTGTCTAATACAAAAGCACACCGAGACCGCGTAAAAGTGTGCCCAGAGCTTCCGGGGGCTCGTGCTCATGAATCCGCGGGCGAGATGCCACCCCACCCTGATGGGCAGGGGGGAAAAGCCGAACCCCGCCAGGGAATGCGAGTTGACAAAACCCTGCCAAAGACCCAATTTACAGTGGGGTCCTCGTGACTCATCGAGAGTTTTCTTTGCCACAGCACCTCGGGGTCTGGGGCCTCGAACCCCAAAGCCAAGGCCGCCCTCCCCCCGGCCCCGCGCAGACCTGTCGTCAATCGAGAAGAGGACTAGCTTGGGGAGCAAGGGTAGTGGGACACCCGCAAACCCGTGAGGCTAGTTCACGGCTC